TTTTTTTTTTTTTTTTTTTTTGGCAAATAAAATTCTATTACCAAATTTGTATTGTATATACAGAAAAGAGACACTTCTGGGCAATAATCTCGCAAACGTCAGAAACATAATAACCTATAAGCTATTCAGAAACATAAAATTCTTTCTTCACGGATTTAATTAAGTTACATATATTGATAATGTAATTTTTTTAATTCTACTAGTGAGTTTAGCATGCGATAGCGGAGTTGAGGGTGAGCTCCCTTGGTGAACTCTCCATCTTTCACAGTTAAAGTGAAGGGTTCAAACCTCATCAACAGCATATCATCCCCTTCCCCTTTCTCCCTCTCCTTGACTTAAATATAAAAAAAAAAGTGCAATAATTAGTTAATTATCATTTTTATGAGATTACCCAACTATACTTATCAATAAAATTTATAGTATGTGATAGTATAAATATATATATATATTTTTCTATGTTGGTGCATAAAACTTAGAACTGAATTTTTGTTTTAACTTTTAGAGGAGTTGGGACTTGGGAAGGAAAGAAACTCAGAAGAATCTACTGAATAACGTGGTACATTTCTTTCTTCAGTGATGAAAGCACTAGGAATTGTCAAGTCACTCAGAGCCCGTGAGACAGTAGTTGTTTTATTTACCCCATTTATGCAGATAAATTCAAGAAAATAGGAAGTGTGGATAGAACTAAGAAAAGCTAGCATAGCTAGCTAGGCTTTTCGTACACCCCGCAACTGTGGAAAGCACTCTTAAATCTGGACATTTATCTCATTTAAGGTCATGAATTTTGTACAATATTCAGAATGTTTGTTCTTTCTTTCTAAAAGACGACGTTCTGCATTTCACTTCTTTTTTCTTTTACAGTTCCTCTTTTTTACTTTTCACCATTACTACTAGAAGCAACAAAAAAGCCCGAGAAGAAAAGTAGTAATGAGAAGCATTTGAGCCATAAAAAAAGAAAAACACAGTACTATGTTTTTCGTCTTATTTTATGTGTCTTAATTTAACTCCGCACAAAATTTAATAATACAAGGAGAACTTTTGAATCATGTGATTTAAGCTAAATGTGTGTATAACAATATCCTTTAAATTTTGTCCGTCGTTTCTCATTTCTCTGAGGGAGTGTCATTAATGATAAAAAGAGAATGTTGAAGTTAAAAACTTAATAAATGCTGAAAGAGACATTTTCTAGACAAACTAAAGAGAAAAGTAAAACATATCAATTGAAACAATCGACCTTTGATGCCACACCCTAACCAGAACAATATTTTAAGAAATTAAAATGGCATCAATTTAAAGAGCTCTCAATCCTCATCATCAATGTAGGGTTTACCTAGTCCTTTGCTGCTTTAGCTTAATGTCGAAGTCTTGCTAAATACGAGGTAGTAAGATTTAGAGATTGAGACCTATATTTAGGTAGCATTTCTTTGCTAAATTAATTGGTCTCTAAACCCCTCAATTCGGGAGGATTAGCACAAGTCACCCAAAAAATGTGCAATGACTGATGATAGAAACTGAAAGATTAATTAGGTTAATTTGCAAGACGATTAATATGGGTCAGTGTATATAACTGAAATCTTTGTAACTGATACTAGAGCAAATAGAAAGAGTTCTCACATACAGGATTATTAATTAAGGAAATTAAAAAGAATTCATTTCATGTACTATATCCTGCAAAAACACGAGCTCCATGTACGCTAACATGCCGATGAACTAAAGCTAACAAATTAATTAACTGCTGCTAGACATAGGCGTTTATATATAATTAAAGAGAAACTGACCTGAGATATTGCTACTCGGAGTGACCGGAGTAGTGCAGAGATTGGTAAGTTGAATTTGAATATCATTAAGAAAAGTAGTTGCTTCATTGAAAGGCCTTTCAAGATCCGACTTGAACTTTGCTAACACATCACAGTAAGTTCCCTGCAGTATATATCACCATTCACTATATAAGCACAAACAAATCTACACACATAGATCCCATGCATATCCCCAATTAGGAATGAAAGCTTGATAAATATATACTACTCATAGGATTGAGATGAAAAAAGAGAGAGACCATGAAATCATCCAGCTCAGAATCACCGGTGATCAGTCTATTTGATCTCCTATAAAGATCATTTTCGTGGACAATATTAATATTGTCCAACATATCAACAATCTCAGATGGCGCTCCTACCTGCAAACGTTATATATACCATAAGATTAATATTGATGAAAAATTGACACAGAAGAAGTGATAACACCAAGGTCTTCTTGGTTAAACCCTAGAATCATACTGTATATAGCAATCCAAAAACCCTAAAATCATAGCTGAACATTGTGTTTCAAACACATAAGAAAATAAGCCTTTTTTACTTTCTTTCTCTAGGCCTACTCTTTTTACTAAACAGTTTCCGAACTGAAATTTTTTTTACCTTGCGGCAGTCGATGTAAGTACGAAGAAGCTTAGGATACAAAGGATAAGAAGAGATCTTTGCTCTAATATTCGTCTCATGATGATCTTCTAATTGTAAATTAGAAGAAGACGTCCCACTTTTATCAACTACTGAATTAGCAGCCGAAGATTCCGAACACACCGACGACATATTTCCGGATCCAAATCCCACAGGGAGCAGCTCATCGCAAAACGCCGGCGGCGATCCAAAATATGGCGGCTGCAAATGGTCGTCGACGGAGTAAACAGCACTACTGCTCGAACCAAATTCATACATTTCCTCCATTTATAAGTAATGTTAATTTCCTACTATGCTCGCTCTTAATTCCGTTGTTGTGATCAAGAAGGAGAAACAATCTTTAGGCTAGCTAGCTACTTTCTTGCTTTAAATTTGTGAATAATAAGGTTACTAATTAACCTTTCAGAAGTAAAAATTAAGGAGAAATAGAGGTGGAAAGGAGGAGACCGAGTTGATGCTTGGTGGAGAGAGAAACTTTTGCCTACAAATAAATGAATTACCTGGAGAAAGTTATATAGCTGCAGCACCTGATGATCAGGAAAAGGAAGCACTCTCATCTTTTTTTTAATCTTCTAAATGGATTTATAAAGATTTTTTTTACATCATCACTAAACTTTAACTTGATTACATGCCATTTTTATTAGATTATCAATTAATGTTTATTAAGATATTTTACGTGTAAATATCTCATAATTGAGCTCGTGTTAATTTTTCAACGTCAATACATAAAACTTGAACTCTTTTAAATCTTGTGCACTAATTGTGTATAGGTTTCTCAACATTATCACGAAAAATTGACCCCAACAATCGTAAAATTTAACCGCTAGATTACACTCAAAGTATACAAGTTCTCAATATATTTAACTTTAAGTCCGAAGAAATTGAATTCAAGTTATACATAGTGACTGGTTTCAAAGTTTATGTTCCCAGATCCGTTTGTTACAAAAGAATAAGAGAATGCCTACAATCACCAAAGTTCTTTTTCTCTTCTTTTTTTTTTCCTTTTCTTTTTCTCAAATATATCATAATTAAAAATTTTGTTAACTAATATCGTGGACAAGAGGGGTTGCTCTGATGGTAAGTAACCTCCACTTCCAACCAAGAGTCTCCCCAAGAGCAAGATGGGAAGTTCTTGGAGGGAAGGATGTCGGGGTTTGGATTGTTGTTGTTGTTAACTAATATGGTGCCCAAGATACTGTTAATTAAGCTAATTCCACTTTTTTTCCCTCCCAATTCCTAGCACGTACTTTGTTTATGCTTCTTTCCCCGATTTTAAGTATCACTTTTGATGTTCCTAAATGAACTTTATTATTTTAAATTTCATAGTGGAAATACTTTCTCTAACTCCATCTGCTACTGCCCATTGAGAGACCTTTGTCGTGCGTCAGTCCAATTAAATATTTAATTGGAGTGCATACTTTGACTTTGTATTTAGAATTTCACACAGAATCAAAGCAGCTTCCACTTTACTGCTTGCAGCTTGTTTTGCAATACTTTATTCAATTCTTTTTTAAATTTGTTAATTTCTTTTTGAAGTTGGGCTGATCCATGAGAGCGTATAATGGAGATGTGGGAATAACTATCTAGAATATAAATTTTTAATCATTAAATTATACTAATTTTGTCATTTTAGGTCCTATTTTTTAACATAGAGGGAGGAGAAGGAAAAATAAGTTGGGAATTAATTACAAGATGAGACATTAAATTTCTAGTAAAAAGGTGAAAATTCATATAGTCAGTATTACAAAGATTTTGGCAATGAAGATGGTTGATGGTGGATAACTGATGGTAAAAGCCGGAGGTATTAGAAGGTGATTGTGAGTTAGAGGGTGGTGGTGGTGGGTGCTTGTAGTGGATAGAATAGTGGTATAAAAGGCATATTTATATGAATTTTTAAATGAACAATGTCTTATGGTTTTAAGATTTTGTATAAAATATAAATGATTTACTTATAATAAAGAGCACATAACTAGTGATAAAAAAATTTACTAAAAGAATACATTTATGAACTTATATTGGATTGATTCAGATTGAGACCTTGTGATATTACGGATCCCTAATTTGTTAATTTACCGTAAACAACAAATTACAATAACAACAAACTTGTATAACAGTCATTCACTATAAAAGTCACGTTTTTCTCAAAAACAATTTTTAAGTTATATTTTACCTCTATAACTGCTTTTTACCTATAACAACAATAGCCATATTTATAATAGTACGCTCTTTTTAAAATTACCCCTCTATAACAATCATATAGAATTATTAAGATTAACAAAGTTTCTATCTTTCATAAGATATAAGATTTGAAGATATGCACATGATATATTGTCCATTGGACAAATTCCAATATATATATATATAGATAGATAGATAGAAAATTTAACTGTTAAGCTCTTAGATTGTCTTCAAGGGAAAGCTATTGGATACGGTAAAAACTTACCCGTACCGGGTGTTTACACCAAACTAATACATGACATGTGTCCTGCATATGGACTTCAATCATTTTAACCATGGTAAATCATATGCGTTCTCATCTAATTAAATTAATCAACCATAGTGAGTTAATATAGTTTGGTATAAACACGCGATATGGGTAAGGTTTTACCATTGGATACCTTTTTGTAGAAAATTTGGACATGAATCTTCGCCAGTTCAGGCGTTGTATCGCTAGTAAAAGAATGAAATCTACGAAAAAACTACAATTAAAAAGTTCTTCTATCAATCTTGAAAGAATTTATTTTTTCAGGTAGCTTTAAAATGTTTGCCTTAGAGTTTAAACTTTAAATCTTTGTACATTTAGTTATGAATTAATTAATAATGTATTAGTTTTTTTTATACTTAACTAGTGAAATATGCATAAATTTTTGAGATTCTAAATTTGAATAATTTTCTTATCTTTTATATGTAACCTTAAAAAAGAAAAAATAATTAATTTTTGGATAATTTTTATCTATAACAGCCAAAAAATATTTACGTCAAATGTTCTTAGAGGTGTATAACATCCATTCACTATAAAAGCCAAAAATTATCGGAACAAAAGGGGCTGTTATAGAGAGGATTGACTGTACTTGTTAATATGATACTAAATGAACAGTTGCCAACACTAAACTAATTTGATATTGAGGTTGAATGTACTTTCTCTATTTTAATTTAGATGATGTACTTTGATTTGACTTAAAATTTAAGGAAAAAAGAAGATTTTTGAAACATACCGTCCTAAAAGCTTAAGAGATTAAAGTTTTGTGGGGCCAAGGACTATAAAAGCTTATCATTATGGATAAAATAGTAAATTGATTCTAAATATAAAATTATGTTTTTCATTTTTAAACGGACTGTGTTAATTAAATTGAAACCGAGGGAGTAACTACTAACTAGATGAGGAGCCAAAATAAAAACTCGCTTTTTTCTTAGCAACAATTGGGCTCGTTTTGGTAAACAAGTTTGTACTACACATATTTTAAGCTAAAGGCTCTCAAATTCTCTCTCAAATCGCCGAAATTTTTTTGGACAAAAAGCACGTTTCTAATGTTAAAAAAAAGTTATATAACTAGGTAAAATGCAGTATAGTACTGCGTATTATTTAAAAATTATTTTTTTTAACTAATTCGCAGTACTATACTGTGTTTTACTTATAATTTGGGCTCAACTATATTTTATTAAAGCAATTCGCAGTACTATACTGCGTTTAACTAAAATACAGTATAATACTGCGAATTGCTTTAATAAAATAAAACTCCTTCTTCTTCCTTGGACAACGACAGAACCGACTCCCCCATTAAAAAATTAATCGAGCACTGCTAGTCCCCCCTCCCCCGCGTCAAAGTTAAAAAAAAAAAAAAAAATTGGCCCCACCCGTCACCTAAAGAGCAAGGAGTGTAGGTCCCACACACAAGACAAGCTTTGGATTCCTTCTTTCGGGTGCAAAAATTCGATTTCAATCAAATTCAAAAAACTTAAATCGAGGTATTTCAATTTTGTTTATGTCGAAACTCGTATAGTACATGCATATTTGTATTGTTTAATGTGTTTCCACGTTAATTTGTGTTATGTTTGTGTTTAAATTTGTATCTTATTTATACCCAGATTGATTTATTAGCTTTGGTACAAAAAATTATTAAAATTTGATAAACTATTTATATTGTTAAAAAATTAATATTATTTATTTTGTTTGTTATTCATATTTGTATTTTATGTTGGTTGTTTTTATATGTAATAGTGACCTTTTAGCGTAGTAAAATAAATAGCCTTTTAGCGTAGTAAAATATAGAGCCTTTTAGCGTAGTAAAATGTAGAGCCTTTTAGCGTAGAGTCTATGTAGTTTAAGTATGTAGTAACTGCAAACTCTATCCAATTACACTTTATAAAATTAATTATTTAATTTATAACAATAAACTTCCAAAAGTAACAAATTAATATATGTTGTAAAATTAACTCCAATATCGAGCTTGGAACCCATACATAATTATTCAGTCCAATTCAATAATTTTTAATTTAATTCCTTACACTAACAAAATTTTAAAAATGTTGAAATTGACACGCATAATAATTAATGATAACTCGGTGCTACCGGGCCTCAAAAATCAAGCCTGGAACCCATACATAATTATTCAGTCCAATTTAAAATATAATTAATTATTTAATTTATTAAGCTAACAAAATTCTAAAAATATTGAAATTGACACGCATAATAATTAAGGATAACTTGGTGCTACTGGGCCTTAAATATCGAGCCTGGAACCCATACATAATTATTCAGTCCAATATTAAACATAATTAATTATTTAATTTATTAAGTTAACAAAATTTAAAAAATGTTGAAATTGACACACATAATAATTAAGGATAACTTGGTGCTACTGGGCCTTAAATATCGAGCCTGGAACCCATACATAATTATTCAGTCCAATATTAAACATAATTAATTATTTAATTT